CCCCCTACTCCCACTCCTCCCAGCTTCATTAGGGCTTCACGGTGGGCGTGGGCGGGTCTCGCTGTGGGGGGGGGGGGCTACCGTCTGCACCAACTGCAGCCCGCATTGAAACGAGGGACGAAACAGATAGAGTTGCATGCAGGCCTCTTTGCAACTCCCCATTCATAGGTGTAGAGTACTCACCATTTTCAAAGCTTGTTGAGTAGACCGGCAAAATTACAGATTTTCCCTCTGGCATGATTTGTTTCTTTTTTCCTGGGGGCGTCCTCCTCTGTGCAACGAGCTCTTTCGCAGACGCAGTCTGCTTTGGGGAGCCGCATCCTCGCCGCGCTCGTCTCTCCTTGCTTTACGTCCCTGTAATCATTTCCTTCTGAAAGCGGAAGTCTGACGAGCAGCGATGAGCGCTGCGTCGCGGCTTTTAAAAGCCTCCTAACCTCAAAGGGCCCCCCGGCCGGGTCCGACGCGACGCTGCTGCAACCTACTACTAATCAAAAGGGCTCATACGCCTCGTCCTACGCGGAATGTACGTTCCGAATCGTGAAGTTGTCTGGCATTTTAAAATATGTGAGCCGGACAGATGTCCCTACACTCCGTGCGAACACATCACATCACCGCCACCGCACCGCAGTCACTCACTCACTCACCTCACTGCCGCTCACTGCGGCTGACTGATGGTTGCGAGGCTCGCCAGCCCGCGCCGCTGGGGCGCACACGCACACTGCCATGCCATCTCCTCCGGGCCCTCTGTCGTTTAACATGCAAAAGAAAGTTTGATAGAGTGGAAAGGACTTCAAAATCGTAGAGCAGCCAGACAAAGCCATTTTCTACGTACCGCGCCGAATGAGTTTTGCGTTATTCCGAGATAGTTGTTACTACTCACTGCCGCGAATCTCGAAAGATATAAGTTTGGTCAAACATTTCCGAGAACGATAGCAGTTTATGAGGACTGGCACTGGCCTGGCCTACCGGACATAAAACGATGTCCTTAAATAAAAACTTCTCTCTGTCTGTAGGGTCTGGTCCCGCGTGCCCAGCCACAGCCAACTCCATTTCCGGTCGGCTACGGTGTTACCAACCCATTTTGTTCATTTTGAGTCAGACGCAGACGACAATATGAGGGGATGATGTTTGAACGCCATGTATTTGGGATTATTGCTGCGCCATTGTCGCACTTATGGGACAGCTCCCCTTGAGCGCTCTTCGGAATCAGTTTGCAGGCTCGGGCGCGCTTCAGGGCAAAGATGTTTTTTGTTTCCACAAGTTTGTACCCACCGGAGGACGCAATCAAGGGCGGCCGAAGTTTATTGTGCACTTCGGTGGTCCTGGGTGGGTGACCGCGTGACCCGATTGGCCCCAGTTCAATTGAACAACGCCGTCACTATAACCGCGGTGAAGTTGAAGTTTCCCTCCTCTTGTCGGCCGGGTGGTCGGGCCGAGGACGAGGCGGCGGCCGCACCACGAGGAACTCTCGCTTGGCGCTATGCGGGCCGCGGCGGCCGCGGCCACATCAGACGGCGCGGACGCCGAGGGGTGCGGCCGCCCTCTCCGGGGCCCTCTCCTCTGTCCCGCCACAAGGCACACGGCAGAGTGTCGGCAGTGGGGGGGAGTTAGACAGACGACGCCGTTGAGATCGCGAGGCAGCCCGCGCATAGAGTGTCGTTCTCTTGGGTTGCGGGGCGAAACGAAACGCGCGCGGCGTTGAGAGCAGAGCACCGTCGGAGGAAAGGAACGCGAACGCGACACCAAAAGCAGTGGGCCGCGGCGGAGTAGAAGACGTACCGGCGTACGCACGCACAAAGCGGCAGAGGCAATCCCGAGCCCTCTCACTGTGAGCTGAGCCCCGCCCGCCCGCCATGTGCCCCGCCAGCAGCGCCCCACTGCCCCACTCTGCACCTGCCGCACCGGGTCCCAACGGCCCCCAGCAGCACGGGCGTGGAACCTCAATCAACTAACCCAAAGCAAAATCACTGGAAAACCGAATCGCCGCATTTCCGCGCCGCTAAGCTCCTTCATGGCGCACTACACTAACCCGGGTGCGCAGCGCCCAGGGGGGCTTAGCTGCTGCCGCCGCCCGCGCTGCCCTACCGCCCCCCC